TGAGTGATATTTGCCATAGAAAAAACATTGAACAAAGTTGTAATGCAGGTCATGAAGATGAACACAACTCCCCAATGAATTGTTATCTGCATAACCTTGAGTACGCATTGGATTGAGATGACGTATTAATGTTGTGAGGTTCTTGATGTCCTGACGAGTCACTTTATGAAGATTTCCTCCTTTACCTGACCAATTCGTTTACAGTAATTGGAGACATAATGACCTGATTAAAATTGAAGGTGTTCAAAGAAAGTTCACCAAAGCTGTTCTGGGGTATTCCGATAACAAAGACTGTCACCAAAGACGTCAACAACTCAACTTAGAACTTCTTTGGATCAGAAGTATCAAATTAAATCTTGTCTTTATCTACCGGCTTATTAACGGTATTTCCTACTCTTCGGTATCCACCCCTTCATACCTTATGATATCATTCCACAATCTACTCAATAAGGAGAATATTCTAGCGATTCCAAGAACACATACAAACTTACGTCAGAATTTTTTCCTTATTCGCTACTCAACTATGTGGAACAGATTGCCAGTGAACCTCCGTTGCAGTGAAACTACAGCCCGGTTCAGAAGTCTTCTTAATGATTTTCTTTCCGAAAGTGGATTGTCACCTATTGAATATCAATGTATTCAATAATGATTTATACAAACAAGGTCCGTCATCCATTTAATTGCCTGAAAAGCAAAATAAAACCTTTAAATCTTTTCACGTCTATTTTATTTTATTTCTATTTATCTTAATATATGAAGTCTGCTTATGTTCGTGTTTATCATTATTACCGTTATTATTATCATTATTGTTCCCCCGACACATTAGATATTCCTTTTATATCTTCTTATCCTTCTTAACATATTTAATTCCTGACTGTCCTTTGAAATTAATTGTGACTTTCATAGCGTCATTCTTAATTATTATTGCACATATGTTTATATTAATATCCGGTTTCACTCTGTATACTATTACATAAATCTACATGGTATTTATCCGAGTGCATTAAAGGATTTTTAGTTTATTTTTCTAAATTGTTGGTTTCCTTCTGAGGTTGATATTCATTACGCAATTATTATTCTTATCATGGATGAACCTTTTCACTAGGTGTCCACTTCTTTTCTCTCTCTTCTTTCCCTCTAAATAAATATTATTCCTAAGGTTATGGAGTTTGTAATTAAGACAATAACTTGTGTTACACTTAAATTAAATTCTCAGACCCGTTTTATCTTCACTATGCATATATGACTACTCATACATATTGATATTTTATTATCCTTTCCACTCAATTGAGACTTTCATCGCATCACTCTAAACTATAACTGCACAAACATTTATTCTAGCGTGATATCTTACTGCAATTATAAGTTATTTTTTCTTAATTATTTTTGTTACTAATTTAACGATACACACATAGTCGTTTATTCTTGTTCTGTGTTCATAAACACGCCTATTAGACTGTTTGCGTATTTCACGTCTCCTTTATTTCTATTCCCTTATTTTCTCCATTTCCTTCTTTAAACTCAATTCAATCTTCTCAATTGCACAGACCCGATTTATTATTATTATTATTCTACTATTATTACCCTTTTTTTAATATGGCAAGTATAATGCTAACATTATTGAAAATTGTGTATTATTGCATTTTTTTGAAGAAACCCGAAATGGATTCTTCACAACACTGATGTACCCATAAGATGTTTGTGAATAATAATAATAATAACATCTTCAGTTTGTAGCCTTTGCATGGACTAGTAGTAGTTCCTTGAGAGTTGCATAAAGAAATGAAATTGGATTTTCTGGAAATGCCAAAGTTTTTAATAAGCTGTTCCGATACACATCCTCAACATGTTCCTTGGTCATATTCCAGATTTCAAACCTTTCTATATAATCATTATATGTGAAAATTATATTTGAAATATTCTCAACGATTGAAATATAACTAATTCCAACGTTTCGTCCAGCTAACTTGTCTGGACTTCTTCAGGGTAATAATCAAAATCAAAATTATCAAAGAAATATATAGCTTTTTAACAATCAAGATTATACTGTGTTAAACCAATCATATTTGGATGTTGATTTTTTGTAAAATAGGATCAAATGAGTCAGTTAACTACAAATCATGTGAAGAATTCAACTACATGGAAATACTTAACTGAGTAACAAATCGTATGTGTGTGAGTGTGCAGGTATGTATGTATGTGTAAGAGATCGACATGAAGGAATAAATAAATAAAGTTCAAGTTCAAGGCGGAAAATTTTTTTTGATAATGAAACATCGATGTACATGTCAAAACATAAGTTGTCCAAGTGGTTGTGTAAAACTGTCTTGTTCAGTAGATACTGTTTACGTGTTTACTTGCCAATTCTTTTTCTCGCTCGTTAGCCGTTCTTACAAAACCAGGGTTTTAACATAGCTGTTGACTGAATTTCAGTTGGTGCTTCAATCATTTTAATAATGACTGGTTATCAATTGCAAAAATCGAGTGCATCGGTTGTCGTGTACCTACAAATTCCATCTCATTATTTTGAAAATTTTTAAACACGCATTTATGAGCTAACAACCTTCTACACGACTGATTTATACTCATTTCTTATATTGAATTCCTTTCGTTGTGTGTTTACCACAGACTCCATTTACTACTTATATTTAAAGAAAAAGACCATCCGGTCACCAGACAGTGGTGGTTTAAAACAGAAAGTAACTGGACAATGTAGTTTCGACATGATGCTATGTGACTTAAGCAGCTAAACCATTTCCATCAACTTTGCAGTGGATTTACACTAGCGATTGGCTGCAAAAAAGGTTTATTATACATATTGAAGTTGAGTAATACGACGCTCCTATTCAAACACATATGACAGTTTCTTTTGCTTTATCGTAGACACGACTAGAAGGTAATGGAACACAATGGATATCTCGGCCATTCTCTCCCACAGGTGTAAGAGCATCTAGCTTTTCTCAGCTTAGTTTCTACCTTTCTAAACTGGCTCGGACGTTAAGAAGGGATAAATGATTCTAGTACTTTGTACACTATTTTATTGAAAATCCATATTTCTGTTACGTACATTTGCAGATTTTCCGAAGTGTAAGCTTCCATGTGGCTTATCGAGTCTTAATATATTTCCTACTGTTTATAAACTGTGGTTGTATACAAATTCTTTTTACATAGTTCTGCACCACGTATACCCTATTGATATACATATTATAATTTATTATTCACTTTGCGATCAAAATCACTCGAACTCTTAAATTTAAATAATCTCTGCCAGCGAAGCCCTGCTCACTGCCTTCTCGAGGCTGGGGTGTTGTTTACGAAATTTAAAGAATGAAAAGCGAATGTCCAGCGCTTTCACGGGTTGGTGAACACGGAGGATCCATCTGGGGAAGCTGGAAAACCCTGATTCCGAACCAATGGTGCACATAGGCTCGTGCCCTGAAGGAACAAATGGCGTGTGAACCAATCGTTGATCACCGGCTGCCATGGGACTGCATCTCCTGACGTTGCTCCATCGCCCTGTGGGTCAGACCTTTAGGTCAAAGGCTCCGGGTGTAGCCCCCTAGGAAAACCACCTGCTTCAGTCTGGGCACCCGGGCAGTATCCCAGTCCTCATACAAATCGGATGGTTTGTGTGGCGCATATCTATATGGTGGCTCCTTGTGCCAATTTTTATGTGTTGAAATAATAATAATTAATATACAATATGTAGACGGGTGAGCTTTCGATTATTAAAGTATACAGTGACTGTTGGAGTAGAGTTTGATTCCTAGCTGTTTGGAGAGCGGGTTCTAAGTTTTGTAAAACAACGTCATTGTTTAAGATCATTTGCATGGTTCAGACAGGATAGGTTTACTAGGCCAGTTAAGACTTATCGGAAAATTAGATAAACGGCCTGGACTAAGTTTATTAACAAATAATCAATGCAGTTAACCATACACTGAGTTTTTTCAGAGATCTGTATATCTTAGCAATACTACCAAGAAATAGGAAGCGTGGGTGCGGTTCGGTGCCCGGGATCGGTGATTGGCTTCATTCGTCAATTCATTGATATGATATTTCATATCTACAGAGGGCATACGATCCGTTTGATCTAATGAGTAGACTCAGAGTGCCTACCCTAAGGAGCTTCTAATACTGAGGAAATACGACAAATGTATTTGTCCCGCTGACGTGAAAAGTTGACACTGGATGGTCATTGGTATACTGTAAGCGATAACGCTTTCACTTGAAGTTGTATGCCAACAATATTGGATACATGATTCTCTGAGCCCCTACCGAACGTGTTTTTTATTGAGAAACAAATAGAGACTTAAGTTACCAGTTTGAGCAGCAACTTTAACTCAAATTCTGTATCGCTTGTAAGCCCACAGAATTAGGTATTTTTAGACTAATTAAATTATACAGACAATCCATCATTTCACTAATTTCACAAATCCTGAGCAACAACAACCACTCAATTTGTATATACTAACAGTTATCTACCAAATAAAAGTGATAGAAGACAGAGATCAAAAATTAAAACTATTTATTCTTCATGAATATAAAAAAGTACGAGGTATACATGACAGATTTCTAATCCCAAACAAACCAGCATGAAACCTGAAAGATTTGAGACAATATTAAGTCTAATTTTATTAAAGTATAAAGAGAACATCAGTATCAGAAAAAAAATACAAATTCATACGAAGACAAGAAAAACTACATGATTTGCTTTCCCTAAATATTTGTTCTTTACGTCAAAAATTAGGATCAAAATTATTGAGATGAGTACAAAAGACTAAAGGTACAAGCACCCATTAACAGTAAACATGGGAATATTTTAAGGTGTACGTAAGCATTTTTCAAACAACTGATATGTGCATGTAAAAAACGGATTATTTGTTATGTTTTATTAATATCACAATCAGATAATTGTATTAGGTAAGGGGCAGTAAGTCAACCAACTGCAAAGCAAGTGAAAATTTAAGCTCCATCAATAAGAAACCTAACTATTTTCTTCACTAGGTCTCTGTGACCACTTCTAAACACATCATAATAGCGAAGCCAATAAGGGCCATGACAGTTGATAGTCGGCCATGACCTCTGAAAAAATACAGAAACATAGAATTAGGATAGATATGTAATTGTTATGCAAGTGATACGTTATTCCTTCATCAAGTTTCGACAAAAATGAGGGTCAAATCAATGTGTTGATTGCGAAAATTATTTCCGCTATCCAGGTTTTTGCCAATCCTAAAGAAAGTTGTAAGAGTTACTGGATAAAGAAATGAATATAATGGTAAAAGATTAAAGCATATGAAATTTTCCTGAAAAAATAACACAAAATAATAGGCTACTTGGCATCTCTTCTTAAACTTAAAATGAGAGCGACAGACAAATGCACGAGAAGACAGAACAAAAGGAGACAATAAAGTAGTGATAATACCAATAAAGTGTTACGTAAGATAGGCAACAGAAAAAATCACATACAATTTTCTGTGAACCAATGGGAAAAGACAGTTATCGATCAAATATTAAAATACGATTATATGAATATCTAACATGAGTTACAGATGAGGCACCAATGGTATATATGAAGACACGCCTAAGTAGGTACGAATTAGATTTACAGATAGGTGTGTTATATGAAACGCTCTTATACAGTTATCGTGAACAAAGACCTGGTGAGGAAAACTTAAGTATTATCTAATCCAAAATTACAGAATCCTTTAGTGAACTGCGAAAACCATACATTAAATACTTCATTTGCAAATTTTCCATCAATTATCCTTTACATCCTTCACGATTCTTCCGCTTCTCAATTCCTATGTTTCCTCAAGTTCAAAACTTATAAACCTTTTGTCAAGCTTGCACTTCTGATCTGTGTTACATAATACTTATATCTGCTAATATACGTAGCATGAAATGCGCAACTGGTGACTGAAGAGTAATTCTGGTTAACTCAAATATTCCTGAATTAATGAAATAACAGACGAATTACAACTGAACCAGATGAAATTCTTGTCTTATTTGTACTATATATGAATTATAATACAGCACGACACTACAGAGATACACAAATGAAACGATCATATTACGGAGAAGTAGAAAAGAAAAGAACTCCATAATTAATCAATAAATGAACAAGAGTACTACTTAGTAAGAGATACAGTCCAGTTAAAAATACATCCAAAACAAGGTTTACTTCAGTTAATAGTGTTCATTCTGCTTTAATGAAGAATGTAGTAGAAACTACACCAAAATTATCACTGACTTCTATTCTGAGTCATATTTAATGACACTTCGAGCTACTAACTAGTACGATCTTTAAGACCGCCCCCTGAATGCCCTGGTACGGCCGAGAGTGGGGAGAGTCCGCTCTCCCTCTCGAAATACTCTCACACGGCCACGCGTATATAGCCTCTGCCAGGGAAGTCCTACTCATTGCCTTCTCGTGGCGGGGGTGTTGTTTACGAAAATGAGAGGACGAAAAGCGAATGTCCGGCGCTTTAACCGGATTCCAAACCAATGGTGCACATGGGCTCCAGTATCCTGCGGGAACGAATGGCGTATGAACCAATCGTTGGTCACCGGCTACCATGGGATTGCATCTCCTTACGATGCTCCACTGCCTTGTGGGTTAGACCTTTAGGTCAAAGGCTCGGGGAGTGGCCCCCTAAGATAACCACCTGCTTCGGTTTGGGCACCCGGGCAGTATCACAGCCCACACACAAATGATGAACTCTATGTCCATGGAAATTACCTTTGTCGCTTTGAAAAACAATCAATTGATTCAAATTATGATCACTACAATTATTGTCATTATTAATACTAATATTATTATTACTACTATTATTGTCATTATTGTTATTATTATCATTATTATTATTTTCCACATTATTCACCTTCTTTTATACTTATACAGCGGCTCGTCCTTGGTGGAATTCCGACTGTATCTAAACGTTCTCGAGTCACTGTCCGGTTGTAAATTGTATGTTACCACCGAATACGAGGACTGAAGCAGATTTTCTGAAACCACGTGCATCATTCAAACTGGCTGCCTTCAACGTTCGCACATTTATGCAGGTCGGACAACAGATAGGGCTGGCTATGTCCTTGGAAAGTCTTAATATCGACGTGTGTTGTCTATCCGAGACCCGTATTCAAGACTCTGGCGAAGTACTACAAATTCGATCTCCATCTGTCGCTTCGAAAAGCCTGTTTTACGTGCGCTTATCCGGGGACCCTGTGGCATCTTCGTCTGGTTTTGCTGGCGTTGGTGTCGCACTAAGCGCTAGAGCTGAGGCAGCACTAGTCGATTGGATCCCCATTAACAGTCGGTTATGTGCTGTTAGATTAGAAAGTTCCATCAAAGTGAGAAGAAATCGGCGTGAGAAACGATGTCTTTTCGTCATCTCCGCCTATGCCCCGACAGATTGCAGCCCGGATGCAATCAAGGATGAGTTTTACCACCAGTTATCAGTTCTTCTCCAGAAAGTGCGTTCGACAGATATTGTAGTACTAGCCGGAGACTTGAATGCTCAGGTCGGGCGTCTAGGCACAGAAGAGAGTCGTTTAGGTGGCCGATGGGGACTCGTTGGTCGCAGGTCAGATAACGGGGACCGTCTACTGCAACTTTGCACAGACCACAACCTGTTTCTGGCTAGCACTAACTTTCGGCACAGTCATCGCCGATGTGCCACCTGGCGTCCTCCCTCTGCATCTCAAGCCTGGACTCAGATTGATCACATCGCGATCAGCTACCGCTGGCGTGGTTGTGTACAAGACTGCCGCTCCTTTTGGAGTACCTATCTGGACTCTGACCATGCCTTGGTCTGTGCCAATCTTACCTTACTTTTCAGTGGACAACGAAGTGAACGCCATCAACGGATTGATGTTAGCAAGCTGGTTGCAACTTCTGTTGCAAGTAAGTATCGAACCGAGCTAGCCTCTAGGCTAGCTACCACTCCACCGAAAAGTATAGATGAGCATTGGTTGCATTAGCATGACGCCATGAAAATGGCGGGAACAGTCAGTTGTGGGTTTGCGAAACGTCCCGCTTATAAGCACTGGGTTTCTTCAGGTTCCTTACAACTCATTGAAGCCCGTCGGTCTACTCCGGGTAACCGTGAGTTTGACCATAAACGAAGGATTTTACGTAAGGAAATCGGGCAAAGCTTGCGTAAGGACCGAGAAGCCTGGTGGTCGATGCGTGCTAATGAGCTGGAAGCAGCAGCTGCATCTGGTAACTACCGGAAGCTCTTCCAACTCATTCAAGCCACTGGCAGCAAGAAGTCTGGTGTGAGTGAAACAATCTGCGAGGATGATGGGATGCCAATCACTAACATCCATCGACGTCTTGGACGATGGGCAGAATTTTTCGAAGGGCAGTTCAACTGGCCTGCTGCTCCGGTAACATCGGTCAGACTGTCCTGCCCTCCATGGCCGGTGACGACTGATCCACCAAATGAGGAGGAAGTCCGCAAGGAACTCCAACTCTTGAAGCGTTACAAATCACCTGGCCCAGATGACTTACCTCCGGCTCTTTTTAAAGATGGTGGTGACTTTTTGACTAAGGAATTGACGACGTTGTTTACAAAGGTTTGGGAACTAGAGAGTGTACCAACGTCATGGAATGAGTCGATAGTTGTCCCTATCTTTAAAAAGGGTTCACGTCGTTCCCGTAACAACTATCGGAGGATAAGTCTACTTCCGATTGCGTCCAAGCTATTGGCTTCCGTCATTCTTCGTAGGTTGTTCAAAACTCGAGAAAGATTGACTCGCGAGGAGCAGGCTGGGTTTCGTTCTGGTCGAGGATGTATTGATCATATCTTCACCCTCCGCCAAATGTTAGAACACCGCCATACTTTTCAAAGGCCAACAATCGTAGTGTTTCTTGACATCAGGGCTGCCTTCGATTCGTTGGGCAGGACTGTTCTCTGAAAAAAACTATTGAAAAAGGGTGTGCCTGAGAAGTTTATTAACATCCTAAAAGCCCTGTATAAAAACACCTCAGGCAGAGTGAGGGCATACAACCACCTCTCTCCATTGTTCCATTCGAGCAGTGGGGTTAGGCAGGGTTGCCCAATATCACCATTCCTCTTCAACTTTGCCATCGATGACATTCTGGAAACAGCTCTGATGAATGTAAGTAATGGTGGTGTGGATCTGTTGCCTGGAGAAAGACTTCTCGACCTTGAGTATGCGGACGATATTGTCTTACTGTGCGATAATGCCCAAGGCATGCAATCCGCACTTAATCAGTTGGCAATCAATGTCCGTAGGTATGGTATGTGCTTCGCACCTTCGAAGTGCAAAGTACTTCTACAAGACTGGCAGGATTCCAATCCTGTACTCACCCTGGATGGTGAGCAGATAGACGTAGTTGAGAAGTTCGTGTATCTGGGTAGCTGCATAAGTGCTGGTGGGGGTGTGAGTGATGAGATCAATGCACGAATAGTGAAAGCCAGAGCGGCTTATGCCAATCTGGGCCACCTTTGGCGCCTTCGTGATGTTAGTCTGGCTGTAAAAGGCCGGATCTACAACGCGTCGGTGAGAGCAGTTTTGCTCTATGCTTGTGAAACCTGGCCTCTCCGAGTTGAGGACGTTAGACGACTCTCTGTGTTCGATCATCGCTGTCTCCGAAGGATTGCTGACATTCAGTGGCAACACCATGTCAGTAATGCAGAGGTTCGGCATCGTGTGTTCGGGCACAGAGATGATAACTCAATTGGTGTCACCATCTTGAAACACCGACTTCGGTGGCTTGGACATGTTCTCCGAATGTCGTCCCAGAGAATTCCACGTCGTGCATTATTTGCCGACTCTGGGACTGGTTGGAAGAAGCGGAGAGGTGGTCAGTGCATGACATGGTGTCGTGGCATGAAAGAAAGCTGCAAAGGACTGGCTTGTGTTGGTCCTTCACGACTCCCTGGTTGGGGTCCGAGAGATGGTGCTACACAGTGGCTAGAGACGTTATCAGATATGGCTCAGAATAGAAGCCAGTGGCGATCCTGCTGTAACCTTCTTTTACTTTCTTCATAAAAAGTGGTTGTGTCTCCTTTACCTGAAAGATTTCTTCTGATTGTACCTCTTCGTCATTACTCTCTTTTTCTTTTGCGTTCCTTAGTTTTTTTTTTTCTCTTCGAATTCCCATTGTTTTGTGTGGCGCATATATATTGGCGCTCTCTTGTACCAATATTTATGTGTTCAAATAAAATAAAATAAAATCTTTAAGACCACCAACCGGGAATTCACCATAGATCAACAGATGTCCGTCCAATATAACTATCTTTCATATCACGATGCCGCGTCACTGAATAACTCTGTACCTTTCAAGGTTCTTTAAATTTCAAAACGAATACTTCTGTGTGATGAATCATCTTTATTCACAGTTAAACTTTTAATGCGTCTTAAAAATACTTTGCCTTTCAGTTAGCGAACCTAACCTTCCTTGTTCAAACAATGTTTTTAAAAAAAATAGGTCCTCATATTTATGCGCTTTTAACGCCTTCATAAGTCAAAAATATCAATAAACCCTCGACTTTTCTACTGAATTTTGAGTTACCAAATAACTGTTTAAGAATGCCTAACTCGATATATATAATATCTGTCTTGTACATACTCAAATGAATGGATTTGCTCAGAGAGAAATAGAGAGTTATAAAACAAACAATGAATTACCTGGACTGAGATTCAGGAATAATATCATCAACTACAACGAATAGCATAGCTCCTGCAGCAAAGCCTAACGCATAAGGCTGAAGTCTTCGGAAGAAATGTACGGCCAAACAACCGATAAGCCCGGCAAACGGTTCTACAAGACCGGACAATTGTCCATACCTATTTAAAAGTTACAAATAAAATAGTCTTAAAAAGATTTAACGACTCCAGTACCCATAGGAAATAAGGACAGCTGTTAACTTTGTAAAAGATGTAGATAAAAGTTAAAATTGAAATCAGACATAGAAATCGGAAACGGCTTAAGCCTCAGTTATTTTTTTTAAAATAAGGTGTACATGACCAATTGAACGAAACGGCCGTCCATTACTTCCAGGTTTTCAATGTTGGTCTAGCCAAGATCGACTCGTGAATTCAACTGTTAAAATACTACAATCTCCACAAATCCCCACTCTGATAATTCGGTTATTTGTTTACTCTGAAGAAGTGGTTTACACTAAGTCACGAAATGTCAAAAATACAAATTTTCTACTCATTGTGATATATATATATATATATATATATATATATATATATTTATAAATTTGAATATCATAACTAAATGCCGTTAATGCTCTTGAAATTAACTTAAAATTTCCGAAAGCCTAGAAGTGGTAAATGATTACGAATTTTAAAGATGAATGGAAACCTTCAAAAAGCACAAACTAGATAAATAAAATAATAAAAAAGTGAGTTTACCAGAAACTAATGAAAAATCCATATCCAGATGAATATAACGGTAAACTGACAGCCAAACCTTCAGGAAAGTTTTGAATAGCAATACCAATCGCCAGATTACTAATGTAGAAAAAAAACAGAAATGGAAAAGTTAGTTAGAAAACAGTTTATGTACTGATAACATAAAAGCATTTAGCAAATGATGGTTAGTAGTAATATGATCTTTAAGCAATTCTTTGATCATTCACCTAGAAAGCACCACTGGAAGTCAAATAGAACTTTATTTATTAACTATATTCTAAATGTTGATTTGCATTTCGAACAAATGTAAAAAAACCCAATGAATTAATAACAGTAAAAAAATACTAGATATGTCAATTGCGAGTGAGTAAACGTTCATTCAAAAGGATCATGAACAGGTTCTACATTTACTATGCTTTACAGCAATACATGAAGACAAAATTGACAGTTGGAGATATCATTTCACCTTTTCCTTACTACTGAGTATGTAAAGTACAAATTACAATTATCTACAATTTGCAATCTAATAAAAAAACCCAGAGTGTAGTTCCCTGAAAAATGACTAAAACCTTCGAGGTAATGGCAGTTAAATATAAAATATCTTACACACGATCTAATGGTATTTCGTACAACAACAAAGCAAAATGAAGTTCAGGTTGCAATTCGCAAACAGCGTGCTAGTATTCGTCATAAATCTAAAAGTTATTTAATTACAAAGGCATTTAAAAATACGTGACCCCCACTCACTACGCTTGAGAGAAAGTAGTTCTTGAATATTGTCCAAGTCCACCAAATGCAATACCAACTGCAAAACCTTCAGGTATATTATGTACTGTAATTGCCATGATTAACAACCATAAGCGACGAGTTATCACCATTTTCGGAAGTTGATTTTGTTCATTATCAACCTTTATCGATGAAGACGATGGATATGCTTGTATAGTGTTTTCAGAACGATGTCTGATGTTGGATTCCATACAACTATTTACCAAATAGTTACGTTGTTTTATAGACGTATCTACAGGTTATACCGAAAAAACAAAAACAAATTTAGTAGTAGCTTGTACGTCGCCAGAGCTATTTAGAACATATGTAAATTATAATACAGCACGACACTACAGAGATACACAAATGAAACGATCATATTACGGAGAAGTAGAAAAGAAAAGAACTCCATAATTAATCAATAAATGAACAAGAGTACTACTTAGTAAGAGATACAGTCCAGTTAAAAATACATCCAAAACAAGGTTTACTTCAGTTAATAGTGTTCATTCTGCTTTAATGAAGAATGTAGTAGAAACTACACCAAAATTATCACTGACTTCTATTCTGAGTCATATTTAATGACACTTCGAGCTACTAACTAGTACGATCTTTAAGACCACCAACCGGGAATTCACCATAGATCAACAGATGTCCGTCCAATATAACTATCTTTCATATCACGATGCCGCGTCATTAAATGATCGACTCTGCTTTTTTAACTCATCAGAGTCGGTAAATAATATGTGATGCTAAAGCCTTTGTGATGGTATTCGTAACCGATCCCTAGGCTGCCAGCAGCAATATTTCAAAAACGTGACATCGGTTGAGTTTTCGTCATTGTGTACGCTGTCTGACCTGAGGGTTACTGACATGGTGTTGCGTTGGATATAAGCCATCTTTGAGAAACAATGGTGGTCAGTTACAGTGAGTCACAAAACATCTTAAACCTAGAGGTATCAGATTAAACAAGTACGAAGCGAAAATGGTTTAGCGAAGAGATGTAAACCCTACGTTTTACAAACAGAGACGACCTAAATTGTTAGTATTTATGCGTGACTTCATTATATGTAGATTGATTTTACTAATCATAGCACCATCGGCACTTTCACAAAAATACAGATAAACTAATTTTCGAATAACTCTAACAACCCATCACAAAGAGTGAGTGTAGAAGTATAATTATTTCAGTTTGGTAAAGTACGCTGCGTTTCAAAGGTCCAAAGTGTGCCACGTGTATACGGCCTCTGCCAGAGAAGTCCTACTCATTGCCTTCTCGTGGCGGGGGTGTTGTTTACGAAAATGAGAGGACGAAAAGCGAATGTCCGGCGCTTTAACCGGATCACAAACCAATGGTGCACATGGGCTCCAGTATCCTGAGGGAACAAATGACGTATGAACCAATTTTCGGTTACCTGCTACCATGGGACTGCATTTCCTCACGATGCCCCACTGCAATGTGGGTTAGACCTTCAGGTCAAAGGCTCGGGGAGTGGCCCCCTAAGATAACCACCTGCTTCGGTACGGGCACCCGGGCAGTATCACAGCCCACACGCAAATGATGAACTCTCTATATCTATGGAAACTACTTTTCTCGCTTCGAATAACAATCAAATGATTTAAATTATTATTATTATTATTATTATTATTATTATTATTATTATTATTATTATTATTATTATTATTATTATTATTATTATTATTTACTACGACATTATTCACCCTCTTTTATTCCTACTCTGTCTATACTTATTTTTTCAACTTATACAGCAGCTCGTCTTTGGTGGAAATTCGATACTATCTAAACGTTCTCGAATCACTGTCCGGTTGAAAATTGTATGTTACCACCGAATATGAGTGCTGAAGCAGTTTTTCTTAAACCACGTGCGCCATTCAAACTGGCTGCCTTCAACGTTCGCACACTTATGAAAGTTGGACAACAGATAGGGCTGGCTGTATTTAGAAAGGTTTAATATCGACGTTTGTTGTTTATCCGAGACCCGTGTTCAAGACTCTGGTGAAGTACTACAAAATCGCTCTCCATCTGTCGCTTCAAAGAGCTTGTTTTACATGCGTTCATCCAGGGACCCTGTGGCATTTTCGTATGATCTTGCTGACGTTGGTGTCGCACTAAGTCAGTCAGCTACAACGTAGGACCAGGCACATATATGCATCGGTCCAGGTTGCCATACCTCATTAGCACAGCAAGATGAACACCGGATTCATAGGTCAATGGTGGTAATATATAAAACAAAGATTGCAAATAAAGACAGTACAGGAAGAAAGAATTAGTTAGTAGAAAGAAAGATATGAAGTGATTTTAATCTCTTAGTTTAAGGGAAGACAGGGAGTGTATGCACCGACGCCATTGTGATCCACTTTGAGCCATGTCACTAAGAGTCTCCAACCATCGGTTACGACAGTCACGCGGACCCTAACCAAGTAGTCTGCATCTACCAACATGGCTCAGACTAGAAGTTAGTGACTTCAGGCACTGATGCCACGTTTTGGTTTGGACGCCCCTAACTTTCTTCCAACCATCCCCTACACAGGTTAGCATTGCACGTCGTGGTAATCGGTGTTCAGGCATACGTAACACGTGGCCCAACCATCTCAGTCGATGAAGATTCACAACCTCATCAACTGATTTACTATCATTCCCTAATACCCTGCGTCTAACCTCACTATTACTTACCCGGTGATCCCAACAGACGCCAGCATTATTTCTAAGGCATCTGTGGTCAAATACTAGTGGCTTACGGGTGTCTTCCACTCTTAAAGGCCATGTTTCGCTGCCGTAAAGTAAGACAGAACGGACTGCCGCGCAGTATACTCGTCCTTTTATTGATAGATGGATATCTCGCCTTCGCCAAAGGTGACGTAAGTTGGCAAAAGCCAAACGAGCTTTTCGAATCCGTGCTCAGATTTCGTCCGATACCAGCCCGTTAGGGCTGATCAGACTCCCAAGACAAGTGAAGTTGTCGACGCGTTCGACCACTTCACTCCCTATCCTTAATTCAGGTGTTGACGCAGACCAGTCCTGAAGCAACAACTTGCATTTAGAGGGAGAGAAGCGCATTCCAAACATTCTGGCATTGTTGCTTAGTGCTATCAAAAGACTCTGCATTTTATCAGCGTCTTCACCAAACAGGACTATGTCATCTGCGTATTCTAAGTCGATAAGTGGACCTCCTGGAAGGAGATCAATACCCGAGAATTCAGTCGATGAGAATGTTATTTCCATCAGTAGGTCTATGATGAAGTTAAACAAAAATGGAGAAAGTGGACAGCCCTGACGGACACCACTTGAAGTTGCAAAAGCAGATGACAGTTCGCCATCAGCTCTGACTCGACTAGTGGTGTTCGAATAAAGAGCCTTCACAAGGGAGGGTGTATCTCGTTGGCTCTCCGTTTTGCCGAGGTGAGGTCAAGTGAATGACCACACTGGGATCCTGTATGTGTGTTTCGGAGACACAGCATACATCAATGGTACGAGATTCTAGGGTTTTAGCCAAGGAAGCCTGCTGACCGATTTGCCATAAGGTGCGTACATTGAAGGCTCCAATGTGTAGTTTGGATCGAGGTTTCAGTAGACCTGGGATAGTGTTTTGAGCACTAGAATCGTTAGCTATGGTGACACTTGAGGGGAAAGCCGAAAAAGGAAGTTTAGAGGTGAAAGTCAATGTAGGAGCAATAATAGGAAGTGAAGAGGGAGGTTGATCATGAATACAGTGGTCTTGAGGGCGGTTATCACTTCCCGGTTGCCCACACCGTGGAAGTGTTCTTCTGGAGGTACCTGAAGAGGAAGTTGGACTAGAGGTGGTCTTAGTGACCTGGGAGCGTGACCGCAGTGCCCAAGGGACAACTGCTTAAGGTCGGTCACACACGACCTTTTTATGGGTAATTTTTGTGTTAGCTTCGTACTTGTTGAGACCTTACCGCCGGAGATGGATATCCGTGGGATAAGGCGAGGTGTGCATTTTTAGAGTCGACCTTTTCTAACCCCACCCCTCCTTGTGGGAAGGTAGCATCGCTGTCATGCTGGTTGTCTGAAGGAAACACCTTACAGTTATCACACCTCTGTACAGTCAGCAGTACGACTTCGCCTTCGGACCTTGGGTTTGTTGCTTTTAGTCTAACCGCTCTTCAACCGACCTTTCTGACGTGGTAGGACCTTGAGGAACAGTTGTTCCAGTCAGTATAGCTCGGTTGCTTCATTACGATAGGCAAGCCCGACCACCACGTCAAGGTAGCAACAACGGTCGGGTCGAACTAAGTGCTAGAGCTGAAGCAGCACTAATCGATTGGATCCCCATTAACAGTCGGTTATGTGCTGTTAGATTAGAAAGTTCCGTCAAAGTGAGAAGAAATCGGCGTGAGAAACGATTCCTTTTCGCCTATGCCCCGACAGATTGCAGCCCGGATGGGATCAAAGATGAATTCTACCACCAGTTATCTGTTCTTCTCCAGAAAGTGCGTTCGACAGATATTGTAGTACTAGCCGGAGACTTGAATGCTCAGGTCGGGCGTCTAGGCACAGAAGAGAGTCGTTTAGGTGGCCGATGGGGACTCGTTGGTCGCAGGTCAGATAACGGGGACCGTCTACTGCAACTTTGCACAGACCACAACCTGTTTCTGGCTAGCACTAACTTTCGGCACAGTCATCGCCGATGTGCCACCTGGCGTCCTCCCTCTGCATCTCAAGCCTGGACTCAGATTGATCACATCGCGATCACCTACGGCTGGCGTGGTTGTGTATAAGACTGCCGCTCCTTTGGGAGTACCTATCTGGACTATGACCATGCCCCGGTCTGCGCCAATCTTACCTTACTTTTCAGTGGACAACGAAGTGACCGCCATCAACGGATAGATGTTAGCAAGCTGGTTGCAACTTCTGTTGCAAGTAAGTATCGAACCGAGCTAGCTTCTAGGCTAGCTACCATTCCACCGAAAAGCATAGATGAGCATTGGTTGCAATTGCATGACGCCATGGAAATGGCGAATAAAGTCGCTTGCGGCTTCGAGAAACGTCCCGCTTATAAGCACTGGGTTTCTTCAGGTTCCTTACAACTCATTGAAGCCCGTCGGTCTATTCCGGGTGACCGTGAGTTTGACCACAAACGAAGGATGTTGCGTAAGGAAATTGGGCAAAGCTTGCGTAAGGAGCGAGAAGCCTGGTGGTCGGAGCGTGCTAATGAGCTGGAAGCAGCAGCTGCATCTGGTAATTACCAGAAGCTCTTCCAAGCTATTGGC